CAGCCCGGGGGGAACCGGGAAGGGGGGAGGTTTGGGCTGGGTCGGAGCGCTTCGTCCCGCCGAACGAGGAAGGGTCGCGCTCCGCGGTAGCGCGTCGGTGCGTGCAACGGGACCGGGCGACCGGGTTTGCTACGCACGGAGCTTTCGACCCCCGGTTGCGTTACCTGCGGATGGTTAAAGAAACTTCAACTCAAACCCTCTTTTTTTTCGTATCTCCCGACAAAGGAAAAGTTATAATCAACGATTTAAATGCACTGGGATGTGAGAAACGTCGCAGTTAGCACCGTGTTATCCCTTCTATTAATTCACAGCACGTCAGACAACGCTTTTTTTTCCAAAGGACGAAATAACTTATAAACTGTAACACACGAGAGGTTTTGGCTGTGCTGCTAGGTTTTCTGTTAGGTTTGGTCCACCTCGAAGAGCAAAGACCAAGTTGTTCTTTAAATTCAAAGAACACAATCCAGGGTATTAGATTAACCCATTTATATAAACTGGCGTAGTTCCAAATTAGTGTAAATTGGCATCACTCCCTTAACACCATTGAGGGAGTGTTAATGGGCGACAGGTGAAGCTCTGGCAAGTCCTCCCGAAGACAAAAACCATTCATTTTGTGGTGAGACTCTTACAGAGCTCGTTTATAGCATCTTTGAAAGTAACAGGACTCACGTAGCAGCAGAAACAGTCGTTGCGACGTGCCGCTTCCGAAGGCCGGGCACGCTTCGTTAGCTGAGGCCGTTCTGCAGTGTGACTTTGTGCTACTGAGACGTGAAAACGAGGGGTTTCCTTTTAGATTTTCATTGCAACCTTTGGAGATAAGAGAAGAAAGTAGAAAAATGACTCTGCTGTTGGTTGATTTTGTCACTGCGCCTTTTCAGACATTAATTAAGTGGATGCAAAAACGGAGGGTGGGATACAATTAATTTGAAAGATCTTTCTCATTTTTTTTGTACCAAGGGTGAAATGCTAAAGCTCACAAGTGGCAGTTATTTAACACAATGCTGTTTCTTGTGAGCAATACGCCTAAATCAATCTTGCAAGAAAGCGGAGAGTTTGCAGCTCTGGCAACTGAAACCCCACTGTTTTTCAATCATAAGCACCTATTGAAAGAAGACAAGGCCTGGCAGAAAAGGGATGAGAGGGAGAAATAGAAGCTCTTTGTGGAACTGATGATGATCTCATGTCTGTGCTCCTCTTTCTCTCTCTCTCTGCTTGAGTAAGCTATAAACAGAGCTGAGACAATTTATACCAATAAAGTGGAAATGTTATCATCATTATCTGAAGTACGCGCTTGTATGATCTACCAAATAAAAACATCAAAGTGACATTAACGAGACACTCCCTTTGGAATTAAAAACTTCAATTCTGTTCCTACGTATTTACAGAACCAAGTAATTCTCTGCTTGTATTTTGGAAGTTTCTTGCAACTCAGACAAGAATTGCTGGTAATTTCCCAGTAGCACTTTCTTTTTTTTTTTTTTTTTTTTTTCAGTATACCCTGCAAGCTACCAAAGCTGTGCCTATAAACCAGCAAGATCAGAAAGGTGAAAAAAAAAAATAGCCCAATATTTGCAAAGCAATGCACTGCAGCCAAGCCTTTCCTAATCCACTGAGATATAACAGGGTATGCCAGAAAGATTTATTAGTTTCCCTTTTCAGCCCTAAGCCTTTCTTCTAACACACTGGGCTGTCATGTGGAAGGAACTGAGTTCTGACCAGACCTCAACATTTCCCCTGCAGCTCTTTGAGTAGAAGAAAACAGAATTGCCATGAGGGTCTTTCTTGGATTGCACAAAGATGGGTGTCCCTGCTCTTGGGTGGTAAGAACTGTAAGTCCCCTGCATGGGGAATTGATGTGACATCTAGTGACAGGAGCTCTGCTCCAGTGGATTTTGCTACCCAAAGAATTTCTCAGCGAATACCATGATGTTTCTATAACGTTTGGTGTAGATGTTTCTAATCTCTGTATTTGAGTATTACAGATGCACGTGTGTTTTTCAGTACTCTACATATTTTTAAAACAGTTTTCAACCTATTATGGAGGGAGCCTTTTCTCTTTTTTATGGGAGGAATAACGGTACCTCTTCAAAGAATGCATTATTAAAGACCAAAACATTAATATTCTTTAAACAAAGCATAGGTCATTGCAGGCAACTTTTAATAAACATACTTGATCCACAAGGAGTTAATTAGCTCCTGGATTTACCAGTTATCAGAAAGATTGTCTTAAGAAAGTTCCTGCTCTGACACTCTTTTGCTGTCCCCTCCCTTCTTTGTTCTCTTCCTTCTTTCTCTGATTACAGTTCCAAAAACAACACCCAACCTCCTGAGGTCAATGGTTAATATTCCTGAGTGTTTATATAGTCTGCAGCAGCAGATCCCAGGCCTTTCAGCACTGGGCTAGCTCCAGCACCATGGCTGACTACTTGCAGATGATTCTAGCCTGCAGGAAATACCTCATCATAGTGCTTGTACCCATTTTGCTTCTTCCTCTGCCTCTGGTGGTTCCTACCAAGGTAAGAAGTTTTTTTATTGAATTTGAGAGCCAAATCTCCAAATCTCTCCTTAGTGTTGTTCCTTTTAAGTGACAGAGCTGCAGAGAACATACAGATTCCTTCTTGGAGGTACTTCTTCCATTTATTGCTTGAAGATCTTTATTTTCTGAGCAGACCCTTTTGGCTACTGATAGTGGGGGGAATATCAAATCAATAGGACATAGATGGATGAACAGATACATCTGTGACTGCATATGCTAGAAGAATTCTCAGTGACATGCAATTTTGTAACTTGTGCTTTGCATCAAACTTATTTAGCAAAGGACTTTCTATGATGGAGCTCATACTTGTGAACTTAAGTGACAATCTAAGGCTCAATTTTAACCCTCTTTCTGATTTTCTAGAAGTATCCAGTCCATAGCCTCTTTTAATTTTTTTTCCTGTTGTCATTGCCAGATAGAAGAGGCATGTTTCTTGGTCAGATGGACAATGCATTCTGATACAAAAGAACGAAATAATATGTATTTCACTCTTTTTTTAGCATGTTTAGTAAGCATATTAGTAAGCATCTTTCCAAACAATGATTTAAAATTTAAAATGCCAAGTCTTGGAAGACACCTTGCTTAGGATTCCATCAGAAAATGCTGCTTCTTCACCCTGGCTTACTTCTCTCACTCCCAAACTCTTCATGCAGACAGATCTAATCTCTGGTCTTCAGGTCTCTTGTTACAGTCCCAGCATCATTAAATGGCTAGTCCCAATCTACCTTTCCAGTCACTGTTCTTTGGGTCTCAAGTCCCAGCTCTTTCCTCTGGTCTCTGTCTGCCTCCCTGTCTTCTGATCCCTGCTGACTCCCAGTTTCTAGTCTCCTTCACCAAGCTTCATTCTTCATGCTACTAGCTCTTCCCTGTCTTTTCGTGCAGCCTGTCCCAAAGGTCCTTCTTCCTCACAGCTCTTTTTATGAGTGTTATCAGAGACTTTGGAGCTATGACCAGAGCATTGCAAGCAGGAACGATAGAGTGGCACTGAGTTGAGGTGAAATGTGGTAACTGGTCAAGCATGTCCTGCTATTCTCTTGTTATGCAAATAAAATAGCTTAAACTATCACTTAGCTTACTAAGAAGCAAAACAGAAAAAGTTATTTTTTGCTGGTTAACTTTTCATAGGCAGGAGAGTTACTGCAGTTAAAAGAGATCTGGATCAGAAAAGTTCTAAGTAGCCAGAAAGAGAGATATATTAATTTTTTTTTGTCCTGAGGCCATGAGTTCAAACTGCTAGAGACATTGTTACCACACAGTAAGTCCTTGGTATTCCCATGGAAGGATTTGGCAGTCGTGGTTCAGTTCCTCTTTGAAAATGACTCTCTCTGGTTTCTATGTAGTCAGCTACAACACAAAAATTTCAAAGGTCCTGGACTTTTCCCTTTGTAATCTGTAAGTTTTCTTGTGTTAGAATTGTGCGTCATGGTACTGCTAAGCAGGAAAAGCTGGTATCTCAGCACGCAGCCAACTTACAGGATGGAATTTCACATTTTTCTATTCTGTTGAGCTATTAACCTGTCCTATAATGACATAGCACTGCACACAAAACTATTACAAATGAGAGCAAACAATGCTAAAGATTTTGTCTAAAGACAGAGGAATGTCCTTACAGGACAACTGACTTTGTGAAAAGCCTTATTCCAGCTTTTACTGAGAGCTTGTTCACAGCAGGCTGGAAGAGAACACCACTGTGTATATGATACATGCTCCTTATGTTGCTAAGGTCTCTCAAAAGGCACCCATTATATCTCTTAATAACAAAAATGGGAGAAAAATGATCATCAAAATGGGAAATTGCTTTCAGTGCTTGTTGGGATGCATAATTTAGATTCTCACTGCTCTCATCCAAAAATAAGGCTCAAAAAGGCATCTTTTTGTCTCTTCAGGAATCTCTTTGCATTTTACTTCCCCACCTCTACTGCTTTGGTAATTAACCACCTAGATTGCTATCTTCTTTCCTCCAGACTACTCAGCTCTCCTATTCATCCTTCCCCTTCACCAGTTCTGTAACTTCCATGCCATGTCCCAAAGTCCTGAGCATGTTCTGAAGCATCACAAGTTTGATCCTACCAGCCACTATTCCAGCTCCTTGATTTACCTCCCTGTAATCTAGCCATTACAGTTTCCATCTCTTCATTGTTTTCTCAATAAACATCACTACTTTTTCATTCATACTGTCCAGCATATTTTAGTGATCCAAGGCCACACAACCACTTTTTTCTTTGCTTGGATTTTGCTGGTGCCCATTATTGTGCTAGTTCCAAAATGAGGAAGACACTGTAACCTGCAATGTTACATTTTCTTGCTTTCTTCATCAGCCCAGCCATATGAAAATCTGTTTTGACATGTTGCTTTGAATCTTTTTAGTGTATGGGACTGAGTTAAATATTTTACATAAAATTTGGAGTGGTTGTCCAAAGCAGAACTAAATCAATGTTTTCTCAGAAAAAAAAAGAGTAACATGAAATAGAGGATCATGCTTTCTTCAGAGAAACAAGTCAAAGTCAGTGGAAGCTGAAACTGACCTGTGACCAGCTTGTCAGTGTGTCTTTCGATGTCTGTACTAAGCTAAATGAAAAGTAGATAAAATTATTTACAGTACAAGAAATCCAGGCAGTTGAAATTAGTTGGGGTTCATCTGGGCCATGTCCTGAAACATGCGGGGAAGAAGTGGAGAAGCCTTGACTGGATCAGTGACTATTTCTGCAACTCTAAGACGGAAACATATAAAAAGAAAGTACCACCATCAGCAGAATCAAGAAGTCTGTGCAGGGACTGTGAATTTCTTATCATGAAGTGTTCAAAGTCATTGATTTGTTTATTTTCCCAAGTTTCTTGGTTTTGTCCATTGGAGGCCCCAGTCTTTTCCTCACAGTTCTGACAAGGTTATTGAATAGTTTGTCATTTGATTAGGATCTGCATAGGTAGGAGGATAGATGGGAGAGAAAGAGAGAAAATAACCTTTTCTCAAATCCCTTTATCAGGCAATGAATATTGTTACGGGCTTTTGCCTTCTCAAAGCATAAGTGAGATGTACAGTCCGTTCTGATTGTGTGTACTTTTCTTCTGTCAGGAGGCCCAATGTGGTTATGTTATCCTGGTGATGGCACTGTTTTGGTGCACGGAAGCCTTGCCGTTGGCTGTCACAGCTCTCTTGCCTGTCGTGCTGTTCCCACTAATGAATATCATGGAGTCAGCAACAGTAAGAGATCTTACTCTGTACATGTTTGCCTATGTATTTATTGGTCAACTTCTCTTATTCTGGGATTGTTTCCGGGGTGATTTCCAGGGTGTGGCATAAAGAAGAGAAAATTGCCCTATTGTCACACTGGAATTGTCCGTCCTTTCGGTAGAACAGAATTTGTATTAGCCTAGAGTGAACTCTGGGTGGAGCTGCTCATCTGAAATTAGCAGATTCCTTTCCGTGGAACAGAACTTGCATCAGCCTAGAGCGATCCCTGTGCGGAGCTGCTAATCAGAAATCAAAGCACATTCACTGCTTAGATGGAATCCATGTTACCGCGTGCTAATGTCTTTGGCACAAGATCCTCCCTTGGAAAGTGCCTTCTCTCTAAACATTGGCTTCTTGGCACTATATTCTTTCCTTTGTTCCATGTTACAGGTCTGCGTCGAGTATTTGAATGACACCAATATGCTTTTTGTTGGGGGACTGCTGATGGCCATTGCTGTTGAGAACCGGAACGTACACAAGCGCATTGCTCTCAATGTCTTGCTTATCACTGGTGTCAGACCAGCCCTGTGAGTAACAGTTATGAAAAAGCTGCGGGATAAAGGACTTTATGGCATTAGTTCCTATCTCAGAGTTACCTGTAGTCTCCTCTGCGAACCTGCAAATCAGATCCTACGAATGCTTTTCTACAGTCCAAGTGAGTTAGTGCCCGAGCAAACCTTGCAAATGGAGATCATTTGATGTGTTATAGACCTGGTGCCTCTTTTTTGAATTCCAAATAGCAACAAGACAGTCAATTCTGAAAAGGCAAAGGTGCTGCTAGGCTTGGCCAGAAGCACAGCTTTAGACAATCAGGAAAGACTACAGCTGGAACACAGAAACCATATACTCTCTGTTATGATGCTTGCAAAGAGAAGAGAAAACATGGGGATGCTTATTTCAAAAACAACAAATTTTCACCAGACTAGAATTTTAAGCCATTCAGAGGCCACATGGCCCTATTTAATTTGTCTCAGATCACAAGAAGCAAGAATACCAAAGGAAATTACAAAGCAATAGAATAAAAATACATACAAGATAAAGCCCTTTTCATCTAATATGTAATCTACATCTCATCTAAAGAATAATTTTGAGACAAATAACAGTAATACTGAAAACAAGGATTAGAATTTTATAGGAGTAAGAAGAGAATTTTAAATGATAGAGGTGGGATAAAATTACCCCCAAAAAATGAGATCATATTCCTTATGGCTTAAACTGATCACCATTTGGGATCAAATTCAGCTTGAAATTCCTCTTCAGAATACATTACAATACATTGACATGTGTTATTGAGATGGTATGTCTTCCTTGGAAGCATGCAGAATAAACAAGATACTGACTAGATAAACCATTTGCTCCAAGATAGCAGCTTCCACTTTCCTAGTCATAAGAATGTAAAAGCACAATTGGCTAAAATTGGAAAAAGAAAAATTGATATTAAATCTTACTGCATCATTCACAAAGCAGACTAGGGTACGAGGAAGCACTAGGTGTGAATTGCTAAGCATTTTCCAAACCCAGCATTTGCAACCAAAGCTTTGTAACAAAAATAGGGCTTTGCAGCACTGAGTTCTGAACCGACTTTTTCCACACCTTTTCGTTTCAGGCTTCTCATGGGTTTCATGATTGTGACCGCCTTCCTGTCAATGTGGATCAGCAACACCGCCACCACCGCCATGATGATCCCAATAGCACAAGCAGTGTTGGAACAGATGCACGATTCAGAAATGGAGTTTAGCACAGTTGACCAAACATCTGAAAACACCAATAAAGCCTTTGAACTGCAGGAAGAGCCAACGAAACCAGAGAGCTCCAAAGAGACAGAGGAAAAAGGTGAATGGGTTATGGGTGTTTTTCTCTTTGGGATAATGGAAGATGACCTGATGCCTTCTTCACTGTTATTACAGTTGCTAGTAAATTCTTTTAGAAGAATTTCTTCTAAATTTCTTTAGAAGAAATTCTTTTAGAAGTTCTTTTAGAATTTACTAGCACCTAAAGCATCCTGACTGTATCAGACAGCGTTTATGAGGCTTTTCCATGAACCAGGCAAAAGCACAGTAATGTCTACTGACTTGCCTGAAATTAGAAATAGATTGAAAATATGAAGTGATGATAACTAATGAATAAAACAACAAAATGTATAAATTCTACATTAGCTGAAGCCTTTACATTAGGCTTGATAGTTCCCTATATAGTTATCTACTATGTAATTTATCAGATAATAAGGAATTTCCCTGGGAAAATTTCTGGCCTATTTCATGCCAGAAGGTTAGGGATTAAAATGATCTTTCTAATCCAAAGATATACAATCATGCAACAACATCACTTTACCAGCTGTCTCGCCCTCTTCCCATCTTTGAGACAACTCCAGTGTTTCTGAATGTAAATCTCAGTGCCAGCAGGCAGGTGCTGGTACAGAACGAGATCCCTTCAGTCCAGCTCCTCTGACTCTGTCGTACCTCTCTGAATTCTTGCCTCTCTCTCTGCTGTGTCCAGTTCAGATATTGCCCTAATTCACCAAGAAATATCAGCAGTCTCTTCAGACTTTATCACACATTTCAAATCCTATTCCTCTGAAAAAATGCTCTGTATCACAACAACCAGTGAAAATGGACAGAAGATCAAAGAAGCACCAGCCTTAAAATGAGGAAATCTGGCTCCTTCGGCTTTGAGTCCATTGTGTCCTAGCCTTGAAATACCGAATTATGCAGGCACAAGATCTTTTCCTATCCAATCTAGCTTTTGTAACTCTCTTGTTCCTGTCTTGAGACCTAGGTAATAGTCATGCCCTGACAGTCGAGGAAGACAGAAGGAGAAATGAAAATCTGCTAGAGGAGAAACACTTGAAATTCTGCAAGGGGATGTGTCTCGCTGTTGCTTACTCAGCCAGTATTGGAGGGATTGCAACTCTGACTGGGACAGCACCAAATCTGGTACTGCAAGGACAAGTTAACCAGTAAGTCTGGTTGAATCTGGGATTATGTACCCACTATACTGCATCATTCTGCTACAGCTGACTTCCAGCTGACACAGAGAAGAAAAACATCAACTTGGTGACTTTGTCAGGAAGTTAGCTTCTCTTCCTTAGTGAGTCTCACAGTACCTCCTATTTTCTGAATCATTAACGAAATACAGAAGAGAGTGTAGTATTTTGGACGCTAACATCTATCTGTATTTAACAGGCTCTTTCCTGGAAATGGCAATGTCGTCAACTTTGCCTCTTGGTTTTCCTTTGCCTTCCCCATCTCGATCTTGTTACTGGTTTCGGCGTGGATTTGGCTGCAGATAATGTACTTGGGCATTGAGTAAGTACCATTTATACACTGTAATACAGCTGATAGACCTGTTATTGAGTACTCATTACATGTTGTAACACAAGTGGTACTTTTATTGATAAGCCTATGCTTGAAAGCTAGACAGCAAGTGACAAAGTCCTCACATACAACACTGACTAGCAGAACAGCACACTAATTATCTGTTAAAATACTGCAACTTTTTCTCCAAGGAACTCGATCAAATCCCAACTAAATACACTCTGTAGCTGAAAATGGGAAGTTATAACTGCATATAACCTGTCCTCCAGCATTGCTTTCATGTCCTGACAGACTGTTATGCCTCAAACTACGAAACTGATTTCTACACATAGCTGATAAATGCCTTTGTGACAAGAGTTGTTACAGACCTAGAGGATTAACATTGTGCCAGTTCCCAATGCTAATCACCCTATACAAGAGGCTTGCGTTACCAGTCTTTAATGCTTAGCCTATGACTTTTGTATTATCCCTAACTTCCTTTCTTTTAAATGGAAAGAGCTCTGCAATATCTGCAATTATACCTTCATCTTCAAATTCCTCTCTTAAAACTCTCCTTTTCTGTAATTTTAAAAAGCTTGGCAACTGTTTACCTCCCAGTGATCACACAGTCTTGTCAATCACAGTAACACTAAGATTATTTCCCCATGTGTCCAGATAGCATGCCTGTTTATATTTAGATCATGAGCTTTTAGGGGTAAGAAGCTTGTTTCTGATTATCTTGGCACAGTTCAATGAAGTAACCATCCAACACCGATGGCTGCTGACGCTATGATAATGATATATATACAATTTCTATATGCATATATAAATGCATATATCTAAAAGACAATATGACTGAGTATAAAATTTGGATTCTTAACTCTGAGGATATCTGGCAAATTTCTCTGATATTTCTTGTCTGTTTTTTTTCTAGTTTTAAGAAGAATTTTGGTTGTGCTGCAGATTCCTCTGTAAAGGCTAAGCAGCAACAGGCCTATGATGTTATCAAGAAAGAGAGCAAGAAATTGGGCTCAATGACATTTCCAGAAATAGCAGTTTTGGTCCTCTTCGTACTAATGGTACTGCTCTGGTTTACAAGAGAGCCTGGTTTCATGCCAGGTTGGGCAACAGTTCTTTTCAACAAAGATGATACAAGGTAATACCACTTCTCCTTCTCACTTTGAATAAAAATGAAGTAGGCTAGATTTCATAAAAATGAAAACACAGCTAGACTAAATATCTTACTGATCTATTGCAGCTATGTCACTGATGCTACAGTTGCCATCTTCATTTCAATTTTGTTGTTCATCATCCCTTCCAGCCTTCCTAGCAAGGACAGAGACACACAACAAACAGGTAAGTTCACTGAAGGCATCAAAAATCAACTGTCGGAATAGGTACATGGGAAGTTTTAAATTTTAGATTTACAAAGTAAATTTCAAACATTAAACAAGATTTCAAACTGCTCTTCTTGCACAGCTACAGCTGTATGCTTTAGGCCAGGCAAGTGCCAAAAAAGTTCTCTGTTTCTTGTAATTTGAATAAGTAGGAAACTCTTATCCCAGCGGTGTTCCAGACACTAGTATACACATATGTAAAAGCTGGAGCCTTCAGGAGAGTATACATGACTTAACAGAAACACATACGGATCTGCAGATAGATTGCCATATTTTTAACTCACTTTGACCTATATTCTACCATACTTCTTGGAGCAGCTACAGATCATTCATTAGTATTTTTGCAAGTCAAGTTTTTAAATCTTTGTTGATGAGGCTCTTGTCGTTTGCTTCAGGAGTTAATTCCAGTCTACTTGATTTCACCGACAGAAGTGTTTCCTGATGTTCAGACTAAACTCACCTCCCACCAAGAGGTCCTCCTTTCTTTGGAGAATGTGACATGGCTTACAAAATCTGTTTTGGATTTTAGGCAGCAGGTCAAACATTAAAGCACCATCAGCTCTCTTGGAGTGGAAAACAGTTCAGCAGAAAATGCCGTGGAACATTGTGCTTCTGCTGGGAGGTGGCTTTGCCTTAGCCAAAGGCAGTGAGGTAACATTCCTCTGCTTACCTGGTATTTGTGTCTTCCTGGGTGTTTTCCATCTTGCTTTTCATGTGTGCTCTCCCAGAACACAAGAGGGCATGCTGGTAGCACCAACGGCGCATTTTCTCAGCTAGTGACAGTAGGACAGACCTCAACCATCCTTAGGAGAAGTCTTGCGATTAGAACAAATCTGTATTGTTGCCTATGCAACTGGGATGGTACTACCAATCAAGGCAGCACGATTAACTGTGTTTCTAGAAAAGTGGATGATTAAGAAACTACCCCAACATGTTAAAGGTTCTATTAAGTAAATCTTTATTGATGTGGCAAGCATGAGGAGATAATGTGCTCAGGATGGTCATAAACAAATTGGAAAACTCTTCAAGTGCCCTGGAAATTTCAGCCCAGAAAGCCAACCGTGTCCTGGGCCACATCAAAAGAAGCGTGGCCAGCAGGTCAAGGGAGGTGATTCTGCCCCTCTACTCTGCTCTCCTGAGACCCCACCCCTACCTGGAATACTGCATTCAGCTCTGGAGTCCCCAACACAAGAAGGACATGGAGCTGCTGGAGCGGATCCAGAGGAGACCACGAAGATGATCCGAGGGCTGGAGCACCTCTCCTGTGAAGACAGGCTGAGAGAGTTGGGGCTGTTCAGCCTGGAGAAGAGGAGGCTCCGGGGTGATCTTATAGCAGTCTTCCAGTACCTAAAAGGGGCTACAAGAAAGCTGGAGAGGGACTTTTGACAAGGGAGTATAATAATAGGACAAAGGTCAATGGCTTTAAACTGAAAGAGGGGAGATTTCAATTAGATATAAGGAAGAAATTTTTTACAATGAAGATGATGAAATACTGAAACAGGTTGCCCAGAGAAGTTGTGGCTGCCCCGTCCCTGGAGGTGTTCGAGGCCACATTGGATGAGGCTTTGAGCAATGTGATCTAGCAGAAGGTGTCCCTGCCCATGGCAGAGAGGTTGAAACTAGATGCTCTTTAATGTCCCTTCCAACTTAAACCATTCTATGCTTCTGTGATCCTGTGAAATACTAGTTTATAATTCAAAGATCACAATGACTTGTAAAAGTGTTTCTAGAAAACAAGGATGCGACTCAATATGGGATATAGGATCTAAAAACCAAGTATCACGAATGCAAGATATGGAAATGACTGGATAAGTTTTAAAGCTGCTCATACACCTTATTATCATAGAATATTATTCTAGTCAGTATTTTTATATTGTTACTGAGAAAAAACCAAACAACTGGAAACTATAGGTAGGACCATCATACATAAGACAGTAAAGTATAATACTTCCACCCAGGACTGGTAAGTTCTCAGGTACAGTCATGTATTCAGTTTTGGATATCGCTCTTCAACAACATGTGGGCTATACAAAGAAAGTTCAGAGGAAGGTAGTAAGAATGATTGGATCTCTGAGAAACATGTTTGGAAAAGGAAAAATTTAATAAATTACCTTAATTTATTCTAGAATAAGTCATCAAATACATAAAACCTGCTGCAGAAAGGAAGATAGTATACTTTTTTTATATTCTGATGGTGCTGAAGGGCTTAGATTGCACAAAAGGAGATTTAGGTCAAGCAGTAGGAAAATGCTCCAAATATAAAGATAGTTAAGTATTTAAAAAAATGATCTGGGGAGATTTTGGAACCTTCATTGCTAGAAATTTTTAACAAGAAGTTTGAAAAATATTTATCAGTAATAATTTAGGTAGAGCTGACCCTGCCCTAGGACAGTAAATTAGAGTGGTTCTTTCAAGATAAATTCCAACCCTGATGAGAGATACCACTTTTCAGTGTCAAAAGAGACAGGTTGAAGCAGCCAAAAAATGAAATAGAGATGACATGAAGAACAACTGTGGTTGCAAAACCAGTAAGAAAGCTAGGCCATAGTGCACAAAGAAGCAAGACAGGCACAGCTAGGATATGTTCTCTTGAGAAGAACAGCTGAATAATAATGATGCTCAAACTACAGCCCAGAATGATATGGAAGATGCTGATATTTTTCAGTGACTGAGAAGAATGAAAGGTATGAAAAGCTTCGGATAATTGATCAAGATCTCAGACAATGTGATGAAATTACATTAAATTGCTAGAATATCTGCTAAGATATAAGAAGGTATTTTAGAAAGTGAGTTCAAAGATCTTTGTTTTGATTCAAAAAAAGTGCCCCAAATATTGATCATATACAACTAATGGCCTGAACAGGGAAATACTTATTTGCTATCAGTAATGTGCTGTAAATGTGGTATCTTCTTCTTTCAAATTCTTTAGAAGGGAAAGCACATTTATTTTTACTCAACCTACCAAATTATCGTGTGTATGAGCATTGCCTCATACGCGTTTTTCTTCAGAAAGCAGTTTGTATGAGAACTCCTATAAGCAGGGAAGCTAGAATGGGTATGAGAAATGTAATTGGACTGTGATGTTGGTATTTCTCCTCCAGCCGACTATCTTGACAGACTTCTTTCCTCTTTTACAGGAATCTGGTCTGTCTACATGGTTAGGTAGCAAACTGACTCCTCTGGAGCAGATCCCTCAAGCAGCTATTGCTTTCGTGATGTGTCTCCTTGTTGCCACTGTCACTGAGTGCACCAGCAACGTGGCCGCCACTACCCTCTTTCTCCCTATTCTGGCTTCAATGGTAAGTTCCAGCATTTCAAAATACTCTCATAAGAAGAGCTTTCAACTCTGCTCTGAGCACACACCTGCTCAATTACAAAAGCTAACTGGCTGATATAGCCAAGCACTGGTTTGTGTATCTGATTAGAAATATAAGACTTAAAATATACATATATGTTTGTGCATGCATATATATTCACACACACTGTGCTTAGTTCGACCTTTCTAAAATCATTGCTGATGAAAAGTAAAGGGATTAAATTCATTGGCATATTAGACTTTGCCTTCTGGCCTAAACAACCTCATGAGGTCACTGCCAGCTGTACTTGTTTTTACCTATTTGTTCTGCTTAGAGACAGCAGTAGCAGCAGCATTTGCTTCCCTGCAACATTCCTTTACTGTATTTCACTCCGACCACTTGCCTTCCAGAAGGCTCTGAAGGTGATAGCATTAGTCAAGCTCTATGACCTCTTTCAGACTTCTGCAATTCCACCAGAGATTCCTGTTGCTGGCGTAGACATAGTTCTGCAGCGTGAAAAGCTGGTTCCAGATAGAAACTGGAATAAGCTCCACCAAAATCTTTTTGCACAGACTTCAGCTAACCCCTCAGCTGATCCACCCACCTTCCATTTGGGCTACTCTGTTTCCCCTGATAATTTAATTTTGTTCCTAACCAGTTTGAAACTGCTCTACATTTTTTCCTGGTTTTAGAGTTGAATACGACCATTACTATTAATTTGTACTGCAGCAATGATCAGATTCCACAATTGGGAAAACGAAGCACTGACCACAAAATCAATTTTTGCATTTGCTGCTTAAAGGCATCAGCTAGAAGTTCCTAAAGCAGAACCAAAATATGAGTGGCTGCAGTGTTTGTGAAAGAACAAAGTTTCTGACATGGACAAATACAATCAGTCCTCTGCCAGAGATCTCTATGCATTTTTGTATATTGAAATCATCATCTTTGCTCTCCCTTCCTGCACAGGCTGAAGCGATCTGCCTCAATCCACTCTATGTCATGCTGCCCTGTACAGTTTCTGCATCGTTGGCCTTCATGCTCCCAGTGGCCACTCCTTGTAATGCCATTGTCTTCTCATACGGACAACTCAAGGTTATAGATATGGTGAGTAAAAGCACATTCGTTTCAGAATTCTCATGACTAGTTTTGATTTTTCCTTTTTCTAATGTTGGATCTTCTTGAAAGAGTGCTAGAAAATTCACTGTACTCAGCTAAAGTCAAATGGAAAGAAGAACATACATGAGTGAATTAATAAAGGGTCATGCTGACTCTAATATATACATAGAGCCTCATAAAGATGCTATTGAGCTTTTGAAAAACACCCAAGGCCTCTTGAAGATGTTCCAACAAGATCTTACAGTCATTGAGAAATGGCAGTGTCTAACTTTCCAAAACCCTGAATACACATCATAGGGATGTCAAAGAGTCCTGTCATTTGGACATTCCCTTCTGCAGGGACTAGGGGAAAGCCTAGCACATCTCACTAGGCTGCCCTGGTGCCCTTTTTCAGTACGTTCAGGAAAGATGGTCAAAGATGCCATCTCTCTTGATAACTTTCCTAATTTCTAATTTATCCAAGAGGAAATCCAAAGTAACATTACAGACAAATGCCAGGTTAGAACAAAAAAAAAGTCCTACATAAGTGAATTTAAAGGATTTCAGGACTTCTAGTTTAAGAGTTTTATCTAATGGAAACTCATTTTCCCCTAATACAAATTATATTTGTGAAAAAAACAAAAACAAAGCCAAAAACATTTTCAATGTAATTTGATGGAGATCTGATGAAGTTGTGAAAAAAGGCCAAAGAGAAAATTGTAAGCATACAAACAATCCTAATCAGCAGTGAAAGAAAAAAGTACTCAGTTCAACTAATAACCCTTCTCTTTTATAATTCTAGGCCAAATCTGGGTTCATACTCAACATCATGGGAGTTCTAACGATAACTCTAGCCCTCAACACCTGGACTTCATCTTTGTTCCAACTGCATACTTTCCCATCTTGGGCAAATAGCTCAGGTACCTGCCTGTAACAGCGAGAGGCAAAGGAACCAACAGCTGTTTCTGTTAGAGCTGCAATGAGAGCAAGACTATCATCTACACAAGTTTAGCTGAGGCAGTGGTTAAGAGACAGGCCTGTTCTGTGGAAAAGGACAAGCCACCTACAAGCAAAATCATTCAGCTGATAACAGCAATTAAATTGCCTAACAGTGCTGTTTAGCAGGCAATTTTGTCAGCCCAGCAGTAAGATGAGGTAGCCTTTGGCTTTTCAACTGTTCCAGGTATCTTTAGATTTTCTGTCTCTGCAGGGGTAGAGTTTCCCCAAGTACTAGCTACATCCCTTTTCAAGCTCCACCTGTAAAGTCTGCAGTGAGAAAGAAGACAGAATTGTGTACAGAAAAGGAAGGAGAGAGACTCTACATACCTGATTTCATGCATATATTTGTGTATTGTCACAACTAATACGAATATTCATCTGTATATGAGTATACATGCCTCTGTGTATATGTTCAAAATGTACATGATTGTTATATATTCTATAAGCGTCCACAGCAAGGCATGTGCTGTATGATTACAGACAAATCGCATACTGTCAGCCTGCTCTATTTCTTCGAAGCGTATTTATTTGCAGTCCACTTGTTATCAATGTAAAAGACCATTTTTTCCGAGAACATCTGTCCCGTTGTTATTTATGTAAGATTACAGCCTGCAAGTTCATGATAAGAACAGCAATAATCTCTTGAGAAGGGGAGAATCTCTGTATCCTAAAATATATATGATGGAATTAAAGATTAATTTTTTTAATGTACCCCCCATATTATGGAGATTTTTCCTATTATATATCCGTGTTTCTATGTCTGTCTTCCATGTATCAATGGCTTGTCTGTGTGCTTCCTTAAAATATCTTGAAATAATCAGAGAAGTTAGCATAATTGATTTTCTTTTATCGTTAAAGTAAGAATTACTTTACTATTGAGTCCAATTTTCTTGAACTCTCAAAACCAAGATCTTCTCATTCAAAAGCCTTTAGTACTGTTAAATATTTAATCCCTGTTCTGCTGGAACTGACTTTCAGTAGCACAGAGACTCCTAATGACCAAACTGACAAAGATCGTCAAATATCCAAAGTCACTTTGCCAAATCAAGTACTTAGTGCCATAAATGACATTGGGTTCAGACAGACCAGTTATGCCATATGTGCCCCTGAACTTCACCCTAAATTCTTTGTTCTGTTGTTGCCTGCCTAAGTTTTGCACAAAGTCTGTTGCATTTCTGAAATCCCACTTGAACCAAACTGGTTCAATGAAAGTGAACGTGAGCGAATCTCACTCTAAAGTAGTATGCACGCTCTTCAAAATTTTTCTTTTTTCTTTCTCTATCCTAATTAATAGGAGACAAGGACAAAGCACAATGTACATTTCAATTACAAAAATGTTAGAATTCACTGACCTGCAGTACTTTCTTTCCAGTTCCAACTGTCAAGGCAATTCTGGTATCCACTGATCACTGATTCCCTTTGCTTTGATAGCTTCATTGGCCTGACAAGCACAGTTGCTCTGGAAAATCACTGTCTCAGAAAGAACAGTCTGGTATCAACTCTTCAGTGTCTTTGAGAGATGCTGTTTTGATTTAATATGTGATAAGGATCCAATAGAATATCCACAGCACAAGAAGGAAGGACATTTATTCTCTTTTGCTAATGAGCTCCTAGATAATTGATTTCAATCACATAATGACTTGCTCAGGTCACTGCTAAACCACTCATCTTCTTTCCTTTTGCATTTACCTCTATCAAATAACATCCAAATGTGTCTAAATATTTTCACTACCCTGCTCACTCTGTGTCTGAGGGCCTAACAAAATTACAAACTCAAACAGATGATTTGCTGCAAACCTCTTCCTTCTTTGCTCTTTGTCTACAGTATCAGGGCAGCGTGCATAGCTTTTGTTTGCTTTTTGTTTTCTTTGAAATACTTGCACAGTTTACATGTCCTTCTAAGTTACTGCTTAGCTAAGCAGGAAACGTTGAATTCTTATAACATTTCCCGTCAGCCTCTCCTTCCAGCCCTTTAAAACTGTGCTATGATTCTTTGAAGTCTTTTCTATTAGTCTACATTATTCAGAGGCTGTGGTGTGCATAAGTACCTGTAGGAGCGCAGGTGCAATCTTTATGGCAATCTCAAGAAAGAAGAGAGACATCAAGTAGCACAGAGTGTCATAGGGCCAATGCAGTAATGCTGGGTGTTCCATGTTCGTTAGCATGTATGAGCATATACAGGTTAGAGACTCACCAGAAAACGGCTGCAGCGAAAGTTACTCAAGGGGTATACAAATGCCCAGCTTCCAGAAGACAACAGGCGAAAAGCTGTAATCTGTAGATAAAGAAGAAAAGCTAACACCAGGACATAAAGAGAACAGAAAATTTCATTAATAGTTTCCATCTTGAAGTGATGGCAGTAGCAAGTACGCGCTGGGCAGTTTATTGCCTTGGGTGTGTCTGAGCGCAGGACTAGTTGAGGTACAGCTAAATATAGTGTGCTCGTGCAAAAACCAGTAACACTATTAAAAATGTTCCTAATTTTCTAAGCAAAGCAGGTAGAAAGTGTTTCTAAGCCCCATTATTACACAGATCACCTTTGAAGGGTGGTTCCCCATTATGTTTCCAGATATTGCCCTCAAGGAGTGGCTCCATTTGCCATTGTGCGATCAAATTTCACAATCTTCTGTGAAACTGCCAGCTCAGCACCTGTTGTAGTGAGGTGTGATTTCCAACGCAGCTCTTCATTTCAGAGTTGACACTAAGTTTGTTTTACAGAAGAGTTGTAAGTGATAAATTTGCTAATGAGAAGGGGACGTCGGCCGTCTTGCCTGCCTTCGCTAAAAAGCAAGTGCTCTACAAAACCACAAAATACAGGTTTCCCACAGTATATGCCAGTGAGTAAGTGGGTGACTCGTAGTCGCCTCCTCCATTTTCCCTGGAGTTATGGTGCTGTCTTGCCTTGCCTTGCCCAGACACACGCACACACACACACACACAAGTTCTACAGGCACATACATGTACACCTCAGAGAATAGGAAGGACTTATCCTGGTAAACACATACATTTCTACTACACATGACCACACCAGAAAACTGGTTGAATTTCCAGCAAGCTAATACAACAATGAAAATAGCTTACATTTGAGAAAAGTATTTCATCATAAACATCTCGATAGAAATTTGTAAAGTGACATGTAGGTGGTGCGAGGATCACTTCATCAAGCACTGAAATCATAGAGAGACTTAACGAAACACATGCCAATTTTAAAGCTGAAACAGGAAAAAGCCAGCATGTCTTTCTAATCCTCAAGTTGGTTTGGAGAAACCAAAAATTTGCTCCTAGTCATTTAAAAGCTATTAAAATCAACTTTAAGGAAGCCTTGTTGTATAGCATGGAAACCTTGAAATATGTCTAGATCTTGCAGTTTAATTCCTAAGCTTTCATTAATAAACACAAAACCCAAAAGAAAAACCTGCTTTGAAAGAAGCCTTATCATATAATGGGCATAAAATAACTCTCAAAAATATGAAAAATATTTTCAGAAAACAAAATACAAACCAACAGAAAAATGAAGGTCCTGTGTTTTATCCAACAGTCATCGGCATGCATGTAAATAAGGACCTTTCTCCAGAAGCTGTAAAAGCAGTTCCACTCCGGTCCCTGAAGGTAATTCCTCCCTCAGATAACTATGGTATGTTGGCAGTAGTGTGCATCTTAGTTCACAACTACAACTCCTTTTTTGTTCTAGGAATACAACTCTTTGCTCTCAATTAGCATGTTGGTTTTAGTGTTTGCAAAGGCAGAAACAGAGTTTAGAATTTCTACAATGATGAATAGACAAGTGAAAAACAGAAATACAAGGACTTAGGAAATACGTAACTTCAAATCATCAAGGAATTTCACAACCCTCAATTTTTTTTCCAACACGGAACCAATAAAACTATTTACAACTTGATTCACTGAACTTTACGATTTGAGTTAGTAATGACCAAGGTGCCAAAGTCTGGAAATGAAGTGGTTTGAAAATATTAATCACCTGGTGTCCAAAATAACAACTGTTTAATAGAACTTAATCACTACTGTCAATGCTGTGCATTTTCTCCTATTAAAGAAACATTTAATATTATTAATCCTTTAATCATACTAACAGACCGAAAATGTCAAGTTGCTATTCAGGACGTACAGATTCTCTTGCAATGTGCCATCTATTGCCTGCAGGCACTCCACCAGGGCATGCCCAAGGTTCCTAAATCCAGGCCAAGCACCTAGTCGGGTGTTGATCTTCCTCGGAAAACATAGTTAAATAGCTAAGGGGAAAGCAATGGAACAAGAGGAACACTTTTCAAAGGCAGTGCATGACAGCATAGCTGCAAAATTAAAGTATATTAATCAACCCAGTTGAATAAAAATTTATTCAAATTGTCAAAAAGGAAAAAAACAAATCACAAACTGACTTGAAAATAGAGAAGGGACAGAACGGTTAATTCCAGGGTTCAACCCATATATATTGTCATGCATGATTTAGATCAGATCAGATGCAACTGCTTCAAGACTCAGACTTTGTAGGTCTATGCAAGGGATCTATTTTGATAAAGCATTAGTTGTGACTACTTTTAGGTGGTATTGTACTTGAAATATTAAGCATGATTAATTAAAACATCAAAACTTGACTCTGCTTCAAGTTTATACTATTCAGCTGACTTAAGATTAGCATTAAGGTTCTCTTGCAAACCTAGCAACCTTACAGAAATTTCCTCATCTCCCTTGATCCCTCTCCAGTCTATGAGAAGCTGAGCAATTTCAAATTTTCTCAATTCCTACCGCTGGGACCAAGGGCTTTCCATTCTTTGGAAGGGAACGGAAAGCCCTAGGACACCAAATTGCATTAATTCCGCTGATTTCAGAGCTTCTCATTTCTTTCTATAAAGCAAAAGGAAAAGTGGTCAGAGTTGCTTGTGAAACTAATGTCCATATTCATATGAAATTGCACAA